CCTGGCACAGACACCTCCCCTCCCTCCCCTGGGTTGTTGCACAGCTCAGGAAGCTCCCTGCACCAGGGTGTCTTGCACAGCACAGAGGTAGCAGGCACTGTCAGAGACCTCCACTTCCTCCACCCGCAGGACACTGTATTTGCCCGTGGTGTTCAGATCCGTGGTGAAACGGCCGCTGTGCCTGGAGCCAGGCCCTGACTGATAGGAGAGCAGCTCTGGGGCTTGGCCTTCCCGCAGTTGGTACCAGAGCAAGGCATTAAAACCACTGATCTGGTATTTGCAGGTGGTTTGGAATGGTTGTCCCTGCTTCACCATGACTAGTCCACCTTCCTGCATGACTGTGGTCTGCCCTCTGGTGCCTGAAAGAAAATAAATGTGAGCCGCTCCATGGGGAAATATTAGAACAACAAAAAGCAAAGTGAGTGAAAAACCCTGGTGAAGAAAGCTCTCTGTGCTGTAGTGGAGTCCTGAGATGTGCAGACAGACAGGCAAGAGTGATTTTGGGCAGGATTTCAGAGCTCTCAGCACAGCAGGAACCAAAGGAACGATGTTCTGTGTCCCTGCTCCTTCTACTGCTCAGATGACCAGGGAACAGCCTGAATTTTGTGTGCTCAAGGAAATGAGGAACCCATCAATACAAAGCAAAAGGATTCATCCTCCTTGCCCATCCCTGTCACCTCTGAGGGATCCTCAATCCCTGAGTACACACAATGCTGGGCTTGGGAAGAGGGAGTCCTGTTTGTGTTGCAGAACTGGACAATGTCAGTGAAATGAGAGGTGAAAGTGCCTAGAGCAGATTTGACAGGATCGGGGAATTTGCATTAGTAAGGGAGGACGGTGGGATTGCAGAGGCAGCTGAGAGCTCCTGTGGTGACAACAGGTGGATCAGAAGAGAGAGGCAGAGGGAGATAAATTGAAGGGGAGAGAAAGACAGAAAAGGGGTCTAAGGCTTCTCTCTCTTCCCTTTTCCTTTACAGATGTAACAGCTTCTTGAGCAAACACTTGTACAATCACAAACAGAAGCAGAGATTTCTCAGCCTTTTCCCCCTTTTCACTGATATTTCCGCACATGATCCTGCTAAGGCTGTTGACGGTTTCCTGCGGGGAAGAAGAAGAAGGGTGCCTTGGGGAAAAGGCAGGACTTACCCAGGAGCTGGCCCAGGAAGAGTGTGAGGATGAGAAATGCGAAGTGCATGGCGAGAGCAAAGCTGCGTGTTCGCTGAGTGAGGAAGAGCCAGAAAGCACCTCCCAGCCCCGAGGCGACGGAGCTGCCGGAAACGGCTCCCTGGGGCAGCAAAGGAAGCAGCGAGGGGACAGAGAAATGGCGTGTCCTTGCAGTGTCTGAAATGCTCCTTCTGGGTTTGTCCCTCGTTCAGCAGCAGCTGCCGTGACTCCCTCAGCCAGTGGCGTTCTGAGCGATCTCTGCCTCGGGGGGTCTCAGTGATGGGAAGAGGC